ATGCCTCCAAGGTAGACTTCCAGTTGCAAAGGATTGCAACACATTTTTTTTAAAATAAAAAGGGAATTTAACCTGACAGATAATCATTTTGCACTGGGACCATTTCTAATAAATAGAATATATTTAACTCTCTGCTCTAAAAAACTCTCTCCTCCTAAACACAGAACCGGAGCAGACGCCAGGCAGAGATTAAAACCATCCTGAAAATACAGCAAAACTGTTGTTATCATATCTCTCCAGGTCATAATCCATTTATCATGAAAAAAAATCAACAGTTTCCTATCTACGGATCCAACATTGCTTCAGGTGCCAAAGCAGCCTGCTTCACGTCAAAGAATCCTCTTACAAAACCTCAGCAAACTTGAAATTTATCCTAAATTATAGATTGAGCAAAATCTGGCACATTAATCTTCCATTCCACTCTCTGACCTACATATCAACTAAATATAATTCAGGACACCCTATGTTGTCGAGAATCTCCTCCTATAACCATTGCGAAAAATCTCCAGAAGCCCATCTTTGTCTCATGTCATTGCTTTTATATTACTAATCTGGTTCAGTTATCTCTTGAACCAGTTTGATAGCAGAACGCACTTAATACAATTTTTGCTAGAAAATTGGTTTTGGCAATACAAAGCTCCACTGCACTGAAGTTCACCGGCTGAATAAAAACATCTTTCTCTGTAACGGCTCTTGTTTACAACTTGTCTTGCAAGCAGCACGATTTATTTTTTTTATTGGTGATATGAACAAGCTCTTACTACAGTAGTTGAAAGTATCAGCAATTGACTTAACAGCAATGAAGTCAATCTCAAGCAAGTAAAATGTTAGGGCAATTATTTTAAAACAAAAGCACTATTGGTTCAACACAAACAGAGTGAACAAATTGCTGAAATGTTCCATTGCTTCTCAAGGGGTTGGAGACCAAACCTCAGTAAATCATGTTACATGCACATCAGATACAGACCACTGCACCCCTTAGAAGAATTTTCTTAGCTCGACACCAGCTCAGAACCTTAACCATGTAATTTGCATGCTGTTGATATTGAGACAGGGAAATATAATTTGCCTGTTAAAGCAGGAGAGAGGAGAGGGATTTGGATAATATAAAATATTTATGTAAAAGCCAGTGGGGAGGCTTCCATTCAGCATCAACTAAGGCATTTTAAGTGACTTCAGTCAATCGTTTTAATCTGTTCAGATCAGACCAGTCCATCAACGGAATTAATCTCATAGAGTAGAGTGATCAAACTAAGCACCAGATGGGGTGTGACACAAATAGGAAAATTCAAGATTTCTGTGTTTGTTTCCACTGCAAACCAACTGAACCCATGAATTTCTATGAACGTAGAGCTAACACTTGTTTCTAAATATTCTCTCATGCAAGTGTTGTAATTGAACAGTCAAACTCGTGGAAAATATACCCTTGCTTTTTCCAAAAAACTATAGCTTGTCCATCCCCAGTTTTAAACTCCAATTCACACAATGTATGTGTTGCTGGTCTGCTCCCAGCCCTGTCTGCAACAGAAGAGCCATCCCAGATTTTCACCAGACTCCAATTTACTGCAAATTGATGCCTAAATTGTTTATGACAGACTAAGCCTGGCTTATGCCGAATGACACAAAAGCTCTTGCACTGAGGCATTAAAAATACATTTCAGTTTTATCAAATGCAGGGATGGGTTTTCAGGGCATTTGCACCTTTCATTTTTTCTAGATCTCTCGCAGAGTGAAATGGCCATTAGCAAATGAATTAGAATTAACAAAGTGTTATGCTCCCTTTTCATACACTGCTGAATTTATCTGCAGACAATTTGAACTGGGGTTGGGCAACGGCTGGTCACATTGGTAACGTGTGAATCGGAGCTTAAAACTGAAGATGACAAGCTGTGGTTTCTGGCAAGGCAAGAATATCATTTTGATAAGCTTGAATGTTCAATTACAATTGAGGAATAGTTGGAAAAAACAGTGGAAAATAAGCACCCATCGAAATTCACATACCATCTCTGCAGTGGGAGGAATGTACATTTTTTCTGCCCACACATAATCCTAAAACACCCTTTTATTTTGTTACAGCATCTCATCATGTCATCGAAACATCGCAAAGCGCTTCGGAGGATTTACTGTAAAGTGTAATGACTGTGTGTTTGTAAGCAAATCACTACATTTTACTTTGTGAAGAGCTTTGGGACATCTGACCTTAAGCATTGTACCAAATGCAAAAATCACTATTATTATTATTATTATTATTATTATATAGGAAGGCACCCAAAGTAAATATAAGACTAGAAATGAGAAAATACCATTCATTCCATCCAATTGGTAGTGGAAATCTGGAACTTTGTCCCCCATAAGATGCAGCATCCATTCAAATTGACAAGACTGAGGTGGATAGATTTTTGTTAGGTAAGGGGATCAAGAGATATGGTACAAAGCTGGGTAATTGGAGTTGAGGTACAGATCAGCCACAATCAAATAGAATGGCCGAACAGGCTCAAGGGGCGTAATGGTATACTCCTGTTTCGATGTTCTTAATTGATTCTGACTGAATCTATACTCTGCAATTCAGTTCCAAATGGATAGTTTTATCCTCACATCTCTCTGTATCAAACCCATACCCAGCTCTACCTGCCAAATTGACAATACACAGCACCTGCCTTCAACAAAACACATTGTATTCGCTGCATCTAGCAGTAATTTATTCAAAAACAATACATAACTCTGAACAAGCATTTACACAAACCACATTCAGTTCTTGAATTCTGAAGTTTAATATCACGGCCATCGATTCTTCGCTCTTTCTTCTTCACAAAGTACATCCATATTCCTCTCTCCATATATAAAACATGCCATTCACATGCTTCCCCCATTGTTTTCTTTTCTGCTGAGCACAATTCATGTCTCTCACCTCAGTGATATTAATCCTGGAAATAACTGGCATCCTTTCAATGCATCATTCCAAACACAAAATTTATTTTTGGAGAAAGCAAGTGTTAAACTAGAACCTGACTATTATATAAGAGTTTGACACAATAAGAGGCAAGCAGGAGATAGGACACATAGTTCTTGGAGGATTTTAACCAGGGCTGACACCAACAATATGGGACGTCCTCCCGACGTGAAAGGCGCTACACAAATGTATTCTTGTTGTTGTTATATGTAGTTCATTGTCCAATACACATTGTGTGCATGTTGTGACCTTGACATTGGCAAGCCAAAGGTCCTTGATTGGTCACTGGCTGAAAAAAAACAATAAATTACCTTGAAATGGATGAACTGTACTCCAGGGTATGTAGAGAGCAAAAGACGACAGATTTGTGAGATGCTGAAACCATTTTGATGGAGCCAATAGACACTGGAGAGGTTCCAAAACTGGAAACAGGCAAATATTTGCATATTCAACAAGAGTGGCAGAGCTATATATAGCAAACGCATGCCTTTTAACCTGACCTCAATAACTGGAAAGCTAATGGAATCAATAATCAGAAACTAAATGAAAATTGCCCATTTAGAAATAACCTTTTTAGTGACTATTTACAAAGCTTCAAAATGCATTGATCTTTCCTGACCAACCTCTTTCCTGATTTATATAGAGGAGATAAACATGAAAACATACAATTCGATTCCAAATACACAGTTGCTGGATTTTAAGAGTAATACCATCGTGTGTACAAACAGCAATTACATTTGTGTAGTACCTTTCATGTCAGGAGGACGTCCCAAGGTGCTGGACAGTCAAGAATGCAATGACCACCCTAGTCGTTAAAGCTTTGGCTTTCAGAATTAACAAGAACTGAGTGAGAAGATTCCCTGTTCCACATGTCTGCTCTGCCCCTCCAAATCCTGCCAATGAACTAGGCTGGCTGGCCTGTCATCAGCAATACACTAAAGTAATGTGTTCTCGCCTGACTCAGGAACCAGACTACTGAGACTTCCACAGAGAGTTGATTTGATTCTAACATAGAGTTGTCAAGTTTGTCACTTTGATGCCTGCTCAGCTCCAAGGAGACCCTGCTTGTCTTCCCCATCCCCCCAACACACACACACATATATACACACACACACAGAAGATAGTCATGTGAACAATCGTATGATACTATTTCAAATGACAACAGGTTTCTCGTAATATTCCAAACAGAAACCCTCCAGATAAAATTGGGTTAATGGCTGGTTTGGGGAACTCACTGTTTACAGTTACTGCCCTTCAATGAGGCACTGAGGTGATAAAGTGACATAAAAAATACAAGTTCTTTCTCTCCAATGAGAATCTTAGTATCATGCATTATCTGCCAAGGCTCTGTAAATCAATATGAATTATCCCTGATACATTAAACTAAATTCTTTCATTGACATTTTTATTAGCTTCATGAAACAATTTTAACTATGTAGGGTGGCAGCCATCGGGTATTCTTTTCTTTTGGTCAGCCGGATATCTGACGCATCACCATACGTAAGAGTATCCAAAGCAGACAAAGATATGCATGCCACCTACCTACTCGTGGAAATTCCTATGTCTAGAAGGGAATGTGTAAACTCTCTGGAGGCACTCAGGCTGCTTATCTAACTCTGGTGTATTTAGCACAGGTCGGCATAAGCAAAGGTTTGGGGACCCATCGTGTGCTTTGGGGCATTGCAAGAATCCAACCAGCTAAAACCGCATAGCTTGGCATTGAAAGTACTGTCTGGCCAGATTCCCACTCCTTGTTCAGATAGGACCACCCTATCCTTTAGAGCAGTGATGGGCAACTTGTAGCCCGTGGGGCTGTCAAGGAGCAACCCACACCCCTGAACATTCGCACGAGTCTAGGTAAGTCCGTAGTCGATCTGTAGTGTTATTTGTGCTTTTTCCTTGATTGAATTTTTCTTGATTTATGGCATGACTCAAGAAATTTTCAGCCGAACAAATTTTATTTTGTTGCTCGGCCATAAAGGTTGGCCACCATTGGTTTAGGCTTTTGACTTTCAGGATTTAACAGGAGCTGAGTGGGAAGAATCCCTACCTGCATGCAGTAGGTGCTCGATTCATCATTTGACTGATATTCTCTAGGTCTATTTTGTTTCCATTGAGGAGGCTTTCTGCTGGCAGCAGACATCCATCCCATCAGATTGCTTGGTTGTTAATTGATGTAGGGCCTAAATGCAGGTAGATTAATGCAGAAAACAACATGGTTTTGATTTGGACAAATAACAGCACAGCTCCAACTAAGGAATACTGAAGTGGTCAGCCTTGCTCAGGTGGCAGCACTCACCTCCAAATCAGAAGGTTGTGGATTCAAGCCCCCTGTCAAGACTTTGAACTCACGCACTCTAGGCTGTGCTATGGATGATCCGTTAATGTCTTTTCAGGTGGATGTTAAAGTTCCGTGGCACAATTTGAAAAGAGAAAGGGATTTCTCCCAGTTTCCTGGCCAACAATTTCTCATGCCTGTTTATGGGACTTGGCTGTGGGCAACTTAGACAATAATATAATAAGATGGACAGGCAGTTTTCAAGCTAACTGCACAACATGAAACCACTTCTTACTCCCTGTATAATCTCAACCTCTTCAAATCACTGCACTGCCTCTTCCAAAAGACCAAAATGCATTTTCTGTTGTTTGAATGCTAACAGCAAATTGGCTGGTTGGATTGAAAACTGGTTAGGTAATAGGAAGCAAGAGGTGATAATAAAGAGATTACCTCAGGCCCAGGAAGGAGGGGAGGAACCAACTGAGTTCACCATTCACATGTGACCTGAAGGATGGGATTTCTTACTTTATGATAAAATTTGCCGATAGCCTACAATAATATACAATTATTTCTGTAGTGCTGTGGCTCAGGGTGGGGAATGGGGAATGTTAGAATAATAATGTTGCTTGCATTTGATATTGCGACTTTCACGTCAGGAGGACGTCTCAAATCGCTTCACAGGATTTACTGGAAAATATAGTGACTGCGCATTTTGTAGGTGAATGTTGCCTGTGGGGGGAGTGAATAGTGGAGATGTGAGGATGGATACATCGAGAGTTTCTGTTTCATTACCTTTGTTTGGAAAACAGACTGCATCGATGCAGAACTTTTTTCCTGGTATATGGAGACCATATCCCACAATTAGTTAGTACACTTTGACCTTCCGTAGTTGTTGAGCTATTCGCCTAAATGATTCAGCATTTCCAGATTTTTTTTTCTTGTATAAAGGCAATGACTTGCCCTTAACCCAGTTACAATATTACTCTGTTTAGCAGTCTGCTGTTGATATGAAACATTAAACCACAGTTGCAATCATTTCCTGAAAAGTTCTCTTTTCAGTGTTAATTCCTGGTAGACGTTGCTACTACGCAATGCGGTCGTTTTGCACAGATCAGAATTTCCTGGGTCCTAAGCCCCCCTCTCCCTTAATGTTTGTCATATGGTACTTGAAGGAATTGAAGACCCAACTTGCTTTCCAGATGATTTATGCAATTGTACCTAGCGGGAGTACAGAATGGTGCCAAAGTTGATGATGCGAAGGTGCTTTTTACTTCCGCAATCTAAAAACAAAAAGAAGCTTTTAGCTTGTGCAAAACTATTCAGAATCAATAATAAAACCTGCCCCAAACCCTCCTCAGTTAAACAACCTCCACAACTGCAGCTCGCTCTTTATAAACAAGCGGGACTGTCCCTGCTATTAACAATTTCCAATGGGACTTCTTCATAAGGACTCTCAAATGGGCTTCAGTAAAATAAATGTACGTCTCACTGCCCCAAGGGAATACTACTAATACTCAATGCATTCCAAAACCGATGGATTGGTGAGAATTGTAAATGATCCAGTTAAGAAATGCTGCAAGGTAGATCATCTATACGTGCAACAGTCTTAACAGCCATCCTTCAGATGAGACATTAAACCAAAGTCCCGTCTGCTTTATCAGGTGGACGCTCAAGATCCCATGGCACGATGAGAAAAGAGAAGGGGTTTCTCCTTTTGTCCTGGCCAACAAATCCCCCCAAATAAAATTGGTCACTCACTCCATGTGCCAAATCCTGTGAAATACTTTGAGACATTTTGATGTCATGATAAAGCACTATATCAAATGTAAGGATTATTATATGAACACAATGCCAGTGCGCTACCAGATCAGTTTAGATCCCACAATCGATGTTTGACATCAGCAGGGCTGGAGCAGGATGAAAATCTTGCTTCAGTTCCTCACTCTAAAGAAGTGTGGGAGTTGGTAAAGGCAGCCAAAGGTCTTGCTCTTGATAGCTAGTTAATGAGCGACACTGAACAGTGTATGGGCGCCAAGTGCCAATAGGATCAGATTCAACTGCAATCCTTCATGTTTACCGGTTGTCGCTGTCTCTCCTCCTGGCCTCACATATAAACAATGATGACTCTTGACTATCAGACGCAAGAGTTATTATTACTCAGGTGATGGAGTGGAAGGCCAATGCCAATCATTGAGACTGTGAGTCAAGTCGGAATCAGCACCTCGTGTAACGAAGGGATAAAGTAACGGAACATGAGAAATAGTTAGCAGAATAATTTCCTCAATGACTCAATAGTTTTATACCCTGGTGAGATCTCTATAATGTAGGAATCGAGGCTGACCTCAATGTGTTTTCGGAAGTGGAATTCATTAATTATTTCCTGCCTTATTTCATCCCTCTGCTTTCTTAGTTTACCCAGATTTTTTTTCCAAAGAAAATGTACATCATTCTTAACGTTCTACTACAAACTAAAGAAAATGCAGGCATCAAATATTCATACACTAGAGTGAATTTTTCCCTCTTGAGAACCCAGCATTTCCAAATATTCTTACGGATAAAAGTGCGTGGCGTAAATAGCAAATGATCAAAACCATTTGAAAATACTGAATTCATTGAGTCTTTGTAATTTCCGTTGTTATTTTCCGCAGTGCCTGTCTCAGACTAATCTAGCCAGCCGTCCGCAGCTCCAAAGTATTTATCCTTAAACTTTATATAAAAGGGAGAAATCACGCAACAATTCTATTCTATTCGCTATGAGAATGTTTCTAAATATACAGTTAGTATTTTGCTCATAACCAAATGCATCCAATCAGTGTCTGAACTATTTGACTGTCATATCACTGGCTCCAGCAAATTGTTGATGGATTCCTGGGGGAGATTACATGCTGCTTACTGTAGACAAGCCAGTGCTCTCAGACTCTACTCGAATAAAGAAGCAAGATGCAAAAAAAAAACAGCTTTGGCAAACAAAGACTCTCATTGATCTTATAATAAAACCCTATTTAAAGAAGGTACAAAAAGAAGGAATAACACAGACTGGGAATGTCGCCTTGCAGTGTCTACTTTGATTGACTAGTTACATCGCAAGAATAAGACGACAATGCATGCATTCACTTTATGGCTGTTTGCTGGACATTGCTGTGGGTAAAATGGCTGCAATGTCTGTCTACAAAAACATAATCACTACCCTGAATTCCCTGAAGCACTTGGAAACGTCCTCCTGATATTAAAGGCACTTTGTTAAATTCAAAGGTTATTATTATTACTATTATTATTATATAAGCCACAGAAATGTCTATGTCAGAGAGGGTTCGATGGGTCATCTCCTGTTCCCAACTTCCTGCATTGCCAAGATGCCCATCTATGTTGATGGATGATTTTTCTTTTGTCCTGATCTACAATTGCTGGAGGTAATCTGGAACGTCAGCGTGAAGGGTCAATGCAACAAGCACCAATTTCAACCCAGTACTCCAACAATCCATTTGATGTATGGTACTGTGATACTAGACTTGATCTAGGCCAAAAGCCACCAAGTGATTGATTGATTCATATATCTTCTTGCTATTCTGCTCCATTCTCCCGGCAAAGGGATAAAAACATATATTTTTTCCTACGATATCTTTACACAGATCCGAATCCAAAAGGAAGCCCAGATTATAAGGGCAAAGGTGTATGAATTTGCTGATGCTATTACAGTGATGAACCGGTTGAACATGTCCATCCAAATCGCCCAGGAATCACTCAAACTGATTTGAGGCAGAGTCTTAAGAACTACTACCAGATAGAGTGGTTCCTGAAAATAAGATAACCCTGAGTTAAAGCTAACGCATTTTGAATATTGAAGTGGATCTTTTCAATCTAACACCACCTTTACATTTCGTAGGAGCTCCCAAGTCCCCCAAACAACATCAGAATAGTGTAGCTTCTTTGCACAGCCTCAAAGGTTCGGGAGAGCAACTACTTCAGCAGGGAGAGCTGCATCGTCAGCGGTGCTGTACAAAGGAGACGTTAAATCGAGTGTCGTGTCTGCCTGTTTGGGTGGAGGTTAAAGATCCCATGACATGAATCAAAAAAGGAGATGGGGAGTTTTTCTCTCCCAGTGTCCTGCTGGTCAATTCTCCATGTAAAATTGGTCACTCACATCATAGATGTTTGTACTGTGCCCAAATTGGATGCTTTGTTCACCTTCGAAAATACAGTCACTGCCCTGCATACTGGGAGAATGTCTGCTTTAATAGGGGTTCTGTTCAAATGTGGATGTCTTGACATCATTGTATTAGCACCGCAATTGCATCAAATCATTGGCGCAAGAGTGAACTGTCTGTAGAATTTATTTTACGGTATATAAGCTGAATCATAGCCAGTAGGAGTCTCTTGTTTTGAAGATGTAAGATTTCACAGAATAGTGGAAAGTTCCTGAATTCTTTTTCAATCCAGAAACTGGTTTTCCACAGTTCTTAAAAAGCTGCTGGCTTCAAAATTGAGGCTGAATTTGAGAATGTTCCATGTTTCCCCGCAATTGTGATTGATCCAAAATGGTCTTACAGGCTCAAAGTAGTTGGGATTTTGGGCCTTTTGTCTACCAACCAAACACCGAGAGATGTGGGGTGAAAAACAGATAATTTTGCCCCCGTTCTTTTATGAGATTCTGCTAACTCCATTTAGTGAACTGCCAAAGATCTCTCAGCTGCTCTCTCCTGGTTTGGGGAAGAAGGAATAATCACTAGCTAAGGACTCGGACGCCAGATCCATACCTAATGATCAACCCCCACTGCACGTTGAGAGAGGAGC